CCAAGTCAAAGGGAGTAGTAGTAGTAGTAGTAGTAGTAGTAGTAGTAGTGGTGGTGGTAGTAGTAGTAGTAGTAGTAGTGGTAGTAGCAGCAATAGTAACTGTCGTAGTAGTAGTAGTAGTAGTAGTAGTAGGTGACAGCAGTAGTCGTAGTCCTCGTCGTCCTCGTCGTCAGTAGAAGTAGTAGAAGTAGCAGCATTAGCAGTCGTTGCTAAAATCCTTGCGGCAGGAGCTGCTGCTGCTGCTGCAACCATGGCACCAATCCTCTTTCATGAACTTTGTCTCTGGTGCAACGGACTTATACGAAAAAAGACTGAGACCCTGGCGCGAGCACTACTAAATCAGCAGGATCCGGTGCAGGAGGTGCTTCTTGCTCCGCCTGACTGAACCCTGTGGTATCGGATTGCATGATGTTGGAAGTATTACATGCAGATGCCAAGCGTTTGAGTTCAAACTGCATTGTAGAAAACCACTTTTTCGCAATTATGCTTCTTGTATCGACTTTCAGAACATCTCGCCAGCCAGAAGATCCCTGCAGTGACAAGTACAGGAGCCCATTTTGCCAAACCAGCGCCGGCCTCTTCCGCGGCTTTGAGCGCATCCTCGTGCTTCTCCTTCTCAGCCTGTCGCAACCGTACAAGCCAACGCACTGCTACTGCTACCGGTTTACGCATGCTACTTGTACCATGTTGGCTGCACGGCTTAACCCTGCCTCTGCCGCTGCGTCGGCCGAAACAGTGAGTTGCTCTACGCCCAAGCGCTCGACAAAGAACTCGTTTACGGCATCGCCATCCTGCGTTCAGGATGTGGGGCTTGCGGGACGCGAAGCAGGGGTAGGTTAGCCGGCCGCAACACAACTGTTTAGAAACTGCCGGCTTTTCAGGATCGCAAATGCTCTTGGCTGCGCATGTGGCCTTCTTCCATAAGTCCGAAGCAGCTTGGAACTCCTTCTCCACCTGGCATGGCCGTCTGCTACGGGAGGCGGGCCCGCTGCGAAGCTGCTGCGCGAGGCGGAATTACCCAGTGTCATAACACGACTTCTCCTCCACTGCATGGTGTAGAGATCTAGGTGTCGCAAGCTGCACTTGCTGCCATGGTACGAATGGCTTGCCCTCTGCAGCCTGTGCCCTTGCCGAACAGACCTGCATCACTTGTGGCAAGTGCGACCAACACCCACTACCCAGTTAATCAGCATGCCAGCAGCACAATCGTCGTTCTTTCGCACCAACCCAGCTGGGAAGCTTGTAACACGACATCCAAAACTAGCCTGGCCAGAAGCCCAAGAAAGCCCGAGTACCTCGACCTATCTTTCGGAGTGCCCACCTCCTCGGCGCTTGTCACACGAATGACCATGTCCTCAAGATTTGATGTCATCTCTCAGGTTCGCCCGAGCCTCTTCAACGCGTCTCCACCCACTCCGAAGGCAAGCCTCTATCTCTCTGCCTTCCTCTTTGCTGGGTCGAAGATCCACCCTCCGCGCTTTCGCACCCTACGTACAGGTCTTTGCTATATCCATCTGCGAGACATTCTGCCCTCTGCCCTTCCTGCCTTCCTGCCCCGGAATACTCCGGACCAAGAGTCCAGCTCTTACTGGACCCGTGCATTCAACATCGCTCAGCATGCCCCCGTTCCCTCGTCGACTTCAGTGAAGGAGGGCTTAGTCTTGGGTTTTCAGACCATGCTTCATATGCAAGTTGGCGAAGTGCAAAAGCAGTGTTTGTGACAGTGTCTGTCTTTCTCCAGGGCTGCGGTGAGGGGTTGTGGCCCCACTGCGCGCATGCGAGCCCCCGCCTGTTGCGGGTTCCGAGATGTTACACAGTACACTCACAGAAAGGTTTGGACTCCGGATGAAGAAGGATACATGAAGAAACAATGAGAAACATGTAAGCTCTCAACACCAAACTAGGCCCAAGCTTCCTCAATCCCCGTGTCTTTCCCTGGTTTCGCTTTGGAGCGTACTGAAGTGCAAGGCTGACGGTTGTGCATCCTCGTCAACGGTACCGAGCACAGGCCAAGTAGTATAGGCTGGTTACATTAGATAGAGAGAAAGTAAACGGTGCTCTGCAGTCTCTCTCTGTGTCTCGCTGCCTCAAATCCCGTATTTGAGTCCAGCGGCGACTTGAAAGCCTTCTTTGACCTTGGCATCCTCTGAGATCACCGTCTCCTAGTCATGCTCAAACAGGCAAGAGAAGTAAGCGGCGAAGCTCCGTACAGGGACCAAGACTGTGCTTGGGTTGCTCGGGGCCATGAAAGACGCAAGAGTTCGCCTGAAACATCGAGACGACATGTGGCCGCCCAGAACAAACAGCAACCTCCAAAGCGCATTGGCATCATTTTACACCATCAATGTTCTGAGCAGTGTACTGCTTCCCAGGCTGAAGCCCGCGAAAGAGAAGCCCCAAACTACCCAAGCTCCAGGGATGGCCAGTCCCATCTTGCTCGGAGAGCCGAGGTTCCGGAACCCTTCGAAGCCCAATTCTGATTCTGCATGAGGCCATATTTTATGGGCTCCGACTGCGCCCCGAAGTGGAGTCCTCGGCAGGCTTGGCTTTCTTCTTGGGATCTGCCGCGGTCTCAGCCGGTGGAGGCAGATCCAAGAAGAGCGCCGTGGCCTCCTTGCGTCAGGGATTCCACGGGTGCAGGGTGGAGGCTTGGGTAATTGTAGAGTTTAGGGCGGGTCTTCGGGTTTACGGTTCAGATCGGTTCAGGGTTCCCAGATGCCTCCATCGACGAGGGGCAGCCACTCAACACCCAGCCACGATGGCGACCTCCAAAGAAGAGCTAGGAGATTCGGTACGGAGGGGAGGGGGGATCGGATGCTTTGGTTCCTGCCTGCAGCGGTGTTGATCGCTGCGTCCAGAAGCTGAGTCGTGAGGGCTGCAGGAAGCCTTGAATGCCACTCGAGAAATGCACACAACTAGTATCTGGGGCTGGTCGACTTTTTCTGCGCGAACTTCTGATCCCGCGAGAACCCGAAGCCACCGTCCAGCTGCTGAGTTGAAGGCAGATACGGCCCGGTGGACTTTGGGTTTGCCACGTTGCCCGCAATGAGGTCCAACCTAAAAGAACCCTACAGGTCGGCGCAAGGAAAAGGAATCGAATCGTGGAGTAAGCGGCGGACTGCTCCTTCAGTTGGGTTCCAAGTGGCGTTTCAAGCTGTCGCTGCTCCTGTCACATGAGGACTACCAACAGGGGTCACGTAGGTGCACTGTATGAGCTGAATAAGGTTGCTTCTCTCAAACCTCTGACCGTCCATTGCGGAAGCAAGCTTGACTCTGTTGCTGGAAGAATGAGCAGCCTGATGGGTGAATTCTCCCACCTACTGATACAGGCTCGAAACCTGTACCCGTGACCTCGATGAGCTCATCCAGTACAATTGCTGGGATGCTGTACATCTCGGCCAGCTTATGGCCTGCAATCTTGTCCCAATCGGCTAGGGGCAGACGTTCGAACAGAGAAAGGGAGTGGTGGGAATCTCCGCTAAAGCTCCGCACTCTCCATAGAAGGGTTTTCATTCCGGAAAGCCCGGAAGAAACGCAAACGGCAATTGAGGCCCAGCGGCACAGCTGCGAAGTGCCACTGCCCGGCGGGCCCACCTGGGAGCTAAGCTAGGATGGACTGAGACTTAAGAGCGCGGTGCGCGTACCCGATGCACAGCAAGAGAACTCTTTTTCTCAGCTGCATCGGCTTTCTTGTACATGCCTTGGCTGCTCGAGCATCTCACATCATGCACACGAGGCACTCTCAGCAAGATTGCTGCTCCAGCTGCAGCAGAACCATGTATATACTTGCAGAGCTGTGCGACTTACGGAGCGGAACAAGAACAGAATGACTCGGAATGCCTATCAGTGATGGCCTGGCCTCGCAGGCGGCATCTATGAGAAAGCGACGGGCTGCTCCGGCATGGACTGCACAGCAGCGGGCACACAGCTCAGCAGAGTGGGACTAGGGTGTGTAAAAGTCTGCGAGAGCAGAGTGAGGGGTTTGGTGCGATTCCGCTCCTTGTGGAATACCACAATACAATTACCCCTTGCTGTGAAGAACAGAGCCAATGCCGAGCCACAATTAAAATCCGTTTGTAGGTCTTTGCCATGCGCTCAGCCCAATTGTCAAAGTTATCCTTGGCCGGAGCTCATGTCACAGAAATTGACGTAGCCGAGGGATTTGCATTACTCCAGCACAGTCGTGCGGTCCACGTCCACATTCTGCTTGCGGCCGAGCATCTGTTACCAGAATGTTGGAAGGAGGCAGCTCTCTTAGCTGTCCCAACTCATGCTCCTTTGCATCAGGGTTTGCAACAGGCATCCCAACCTCATGCTTGTCGAATGAACGGAGCGTCGGCGGGCCAGCTCGATTTGAAAGGTTTGGTCCAGGCAAATGGGACTTTCCGAGAATTCGGGTATCTTTTCGGGGTCCTTATAATAAGGATCCTACTATTTAGGGTACTATATTAGGGTCCCCTATTTTCGGAAGCCCCCAAACGTGGCACTGCTACCAAGTGGCAACCAAATGCGCTGCTTGCTGGGAGAGGTCCTGCTGTCGGGAACACGGTTTAGGGTTTAGGGTTTAACCCTGTGTGCATCCTTCACTTGCACAGGACCTGACCAAAGGAACGACAGGGACTACAACGAAGCATTGCTGTGCGGAGTCCCGATAAAGCAGGAGAACTCTACAGCCCAGAGCTGAGGACGTGTCAGGCTCTCGTTGCCAAAAGCGAACCCTTCTCCCACTTCCACGTGCCTTGTACTTAGGCTTGGACCACACAGTTTCCGCAAGGCCGCGCTGCGCAGAGACCTGAGCCCCACGACTCGACCGCCCTCTCCTTCAGCTCAGTCGACATTCAGGTCGAACGACAGCAGCTGAATGGGGCTGGGAGAAGTAGCTACCGAGATACGAAAACTCGGATGCCCAGCATCGTTCTGAATGATTTAGGCCACTTCTCGACGCTGTGTCCGCCCAAGTGACGTCAATCGCACGGCAGGCGATACCTGCATGATCTCGCACAGGCTTGATGCCGAAAGATCCAAAGTCCTGCGGCAGGAGGGCAGTCGTGACATTCTTGGCCCGTGAGAATGTGTGCTTCGACACAGGCCCCATCTAGCTTCTCTTGTTGTATCGCCATGCATCTCTGTGTCTCTGCGTCCTTGTACCTTCTTCTCAGTTCCCCCAGCCTGGGCAACAAGCAGAGGTGCGGTCTGCCCGAAAGCAAGCCTGACAAGAGCCCATGTAGATTACAACACTCGGCGAAGGCAACATTCCAAACCAAACCAAACTGCATGTTCAGTCTTGTTGGGGTGGCCGACACTTTCTGTCTTGTGTTTCTGCAGATTCGGCAGGTTGAAGTTGAAGGTTTAGGGTCCTCCTCAGGTTGGCTCCTGACATGCAGAACCTCAGAGACACGTCAGGAATCAGCTTTCACCGAGCTACTCGCCCGTGATAAGGAAGTTTGTACAAGAGCCAGCAGGAAACTTCCTCGGATGTGCGAGCCACAGGATTGCCTCTCACCTCCATCGAACTGGTCTGCTCAGAAACATGCCCTGGCCCCTCTTCAGAAGGAGCACCGGATAGCCGAAAATCGACATGCAAATCCCACCCTGAGAGCTCGAATTGCTTTTTTTCAGCTGCAGCCTGGTCTCGGATGCACTGGATTTACCAGTCCTTGGCAGGTTTGCCAGATGAAACTCTCTTGCCCTCAGCACAGCCTGTGCCTGCGCAGCTAGGAGTCGGATCAGCTCCCGGTCCCAGTCTGAGAGCTCGGCCTGCACTGCAGGCAAAACACCAGACGCTATTAGAGATATGGGGGGGGTTTCCGAAAATAGGGGACCCTAATAAAGTACCCTACATAGTAGGATTCTTATTATAAGGACCCGCAGCGGCCCCCCCAGTGCCTTGAGCTTTGAAGTGCAACAGCTCTGCTCAGGAAATCTCAGGAAGCCCTTTAACACCTTTGCTGGCGCCTCCGACGGCTTCATGGCAACAGGAATGTTCCGCAGGCGCAAGGAACACAAATTCTCCTGCATCCAGGGTGCCAGCAGCTCCAAAAACAAAACGAGTATCGTGACAGCGTTGCTCCGACTACAGCTCGTTCGTTCTACTCGCGACTATGTACTCGCACATGCACTGCCGGATAGCCACGAACTTACAGGCAGGTGACGTAATGAGTTGTGCTGTGAGGTTTGGCAGTAGAGCAGGCATTGGTTGTTCGTTTGTTGTTTGTTAACTGTGGGACGAGAAACGCTGCAAGGCACCGTGGCAAAGATGCGGGCACTTTCACAACCCCAGCACATCCGGTCTGTCGAATCTGCATCTTCCCGTTCGGAGTAACAGCTCCTCCAAGTCAAGCTTGCGAAGGGTCAGTGTCCATAGGTGGCTGGTGGCCTGCAGCGCATCTTCTCTTAAAGAGCTGAAAACATCCCCGATACCCGAACACAAAACCAGAACCTCCGCCCCAAATGCTTATCGCCCGCAGTGCCTGCGACCAATTTACAGCTGCCGTGTTCGGCGGTTCTTCAGCGAAGAAGGAAACTTGTCATGCTTCCGAGTTCGTCGAGATCTCACAGTCTTACATCCTCACGTAAGCGTTGATTCCAACACCTCCCACCTTTTGCAGAGCAACGCACTGAGGCCTTGGGATTGGTGCATGCCAGATCCAAGTCTACCACGCGCACCTGCGAGGGCGGTCATGCGTGTAGGATTGAGTGGATACGCAAGCCTGTCACCCGCGCTAAAATGAACCGACAATTGAAATTGAAAGAGCGGACAGTTACCACCCTTGCACTTCTCAATCACCATCCATGCACTTGGACGAGAGCTTGGATGCAGACAGCCCCAGCATGCCCCAGCGCAAGCTGGACAAGATGCGCTCGACTCGATTGCAAGTGTTTTCGGTTGGGAATGTACATGGTTTACAGTTTAGCAGTTTAGCACACACTACCTGCCAACACTCGTTCTAGCCAGGCTAACTTGGCCGCTTTTTCGCAGGAGCGCCAGCCAGCGAGTTCGAAGGCCATCTTGTCTTTGGTTCTTTGGTTTCAAAATTCACAGGGACTTGTCCACGACTGTACAAGTTAATGCTAGAAACTCTCCACTCTTGCCGAACAGCCGGCCCCCCCATGAATTGTTAAAAGGAACTTGAGCTCAAGCAAACCCTAAACCCTATAAATCCTAAACTCTAAATTCCCACCCGGCCTCCTGGGGCCGCTCCCACCCATAACTGGGTACTCAGACACTGAATATTCCCGGCCGCCTTTACACCCGCACTGGGCAAAAATCATTAGAGCACCTTGATTGTTGCCTTGATGCGAACACCCTAAACGCAAGACCATCCCTGCGGCTGTTTGAGCTTTTCCAGCACCCAAAATAAACCAGGCAGATTCCAGGGACCTAGGAATTGACCCGCCCAAAACCTCCCGCCCTCCCTGCCCTGCCCGGCCCGGCTGCTCTGCCCTGTTCCCTGCTCCTGCCCTGCCTTCCCCCTGCCCCCTCTGCCCTGCCCTGCCCTGTCCTGCCTTGCCCTGCCCTTTGCGTCGGAAACTCCTCCATGTATAACAGTATATCACGGTGTGGGAATTGAGGGCGTAGGCCCTAAAGCCCTAACAGGAAATGGTTTGGGTGGTTGCCTGTGGTGTCATCACGGCGGACGGGTGACAAGAACTTCCGGCTTCACCGAGTTCTATCACAAAACACACAAGAAGTCGCTTCACGCGACATACGCCGCCACCCACAAACCCTGGTGCTCGTGTGAGCTGGCGCCAGCTTAGCATGGACCATCGGCCACTGCGCAAGAAG